TATTGACTCCATCTGCCAGCGCTCCACTAGGTACGTCGCCAACGTCTTTCCACAGAGCTCTCCTCCACGCCTCATCCACGTTGGACAGATGTGAGAGTTCGGCAAAAGCGAAATGCGAGTAGTACTCCTGTACCGCTCTTGCAGAGGGAGTTCCTATGTTTCCTCGTCGCGCTGCGAGGCCTCCTATCAAGCATCTGACCTGACCCTTTGCATACGCGGAGACATTCACAGGCTGACTGGAGTAAACATCCCACAGCACGCATGCGAGCTCCCAGGTAACGGCGCTTGCTGCTGCCAGCGAGCTGAGCTGGGTCGCCAGCCCTGGACTTTGACTGAGGAAGGGCGTGGCGAACGAAGGAATAAGCAGCGGCCGCAAGGATGACTGAGCTCCTACGAGACGCAGCAGAGCGCGGAAAAAAGGGCGCCTGATGAAAAGGTAGATGGAGAACTCTACGGTTGAAGCTGCCAGTCCGAGAAGCAAGGCTGGCAGAATGCGCCGCTTCACTGCAGTCGAGACGCGTTGAGAAATACCGATGTGGAACGGCGAGGTCTGAAAGGGTGGCAGAGGTCGACGTGGCCGCAAAGCAGTCCTTGTAATCGCATATACCAAGCCGAAGATAGCATTCAGGCTGACTAAGGCGAAGATGCGCTCGTTGGGTCTGGTGACTGTGCTGAATGGTCCACCTCGAGGTCCCACTTTGACGATAATGTAGGGCGACCAGGCAGAGGAGGTCTCTGGCGAATAGAGCCAAAGAGCTGTTGCATGTCCGATGGCAAGAAGAGCGCCGCTCACGACGTATGCGGCCAGATTGATCTGTGTTCTAGAGGACTGCAGGGCTTCGATGGCGTATGCTCCTCGACTGCCAAACGGCGGCGAAAAGCCAAGAAAGCTCCAACATGCGGGTTGCGTTCCCGGCTGGCTCAAATTCCATTTGAGCAGCACGAAGAGTGGCAGGACTGCAGCCACATAAACGACCACCGAGAGCAGGACGATCGTAGGCCTCAGAGACGATATCAGGCCTGATGACGAGGTGACCAGCAAAGCGGAGAGAATGAAGTGGGTCGCTACGAGCTGCAGCGTGTACATGCGCAGCAATCGTCTGCGGAGGACGTCCTGGAAGCGAAAGAAGGAAGGTGTGGCCATTAGAGTAAGCGTACGTGGCAGTCGAGCCTTCTGTAGGAGGACCGCTATGGAGCAGCTGGCCATACGCAGGGATCAATGGGAGAGTGCGTGCGCGGAGCTGTTGACCCGCCTTTCTCGCCAACCAATTTACAGCGACCTCTGCTGTCCGCCTTGTGCATCGCCCACAGACCTCGCGCCAAATCTAGGCCTGGGCGGGATGAGGCTCACCTTGATCAAAGACTCATAGGACGCGTAGGCGCTAGAATTGAGCGCACCATTTCGGGACACGCCGCTTGAGAGAGGGGCTGCGGCAGGCGGGAGCATCCTTGGCGGTAAGCTCCGCGAGAACCTGCTTGAAGCCAGCTACCAAGACGCCTCTGTCTGGTGATGGAGCTCTTCTGCCATGAGTGAATGCTGCTCTGCGTGCAAAATGTGTCGGATTCTGCGCGGAACGCTCGAGTATAGGCAGATTGCTTGTCGAATGTCGGCCGGCAGACGAGAGAGGCAGATGTTGACATGTTGATGTCACTCTGCGGATTTCAAGGACTCATCATGACTTGTACTCAAGACTCAAACTAAGAGGCTCGCTGCATATTTGCCCTGGGAGCTAATCGCGCGGGCGAGAAGAACTCCACGCGCAACCAAACCGATCACGTGGGCCAAGGGGTTGCCCGATGCCGCCTGCCAGCCAATCTTGAATCCGTCGTTCACATCATTTGATTGTGATTCTTCTTTGATTCTTGATTCATGATTCCTATTCGATTTTGATCATTATTTCAGTGGTCTTGGTATTCGAGATTCTTGATTGACTCGCGAGTCGTGTCTGATTCAAGTTCGCATTCACATTTGATCCACTGTTCACGAACTACGATTGGGTCATTCTTGATTCTCATATACATACAAGAGACTTGAGTGAAACCAAGGGCAAGACGAGTCTTGAGGAGACCATCTCCCTCACAAACTCGTCCCGCGGAAGGAAGCATATCACAGAGCTGTATGATCGCAAGCTCCACAAGTGACTTCGAACAAGTAATGGCGCGCACGTGTGCGAGATTGAGCGCGGCATTTTTCGCGTGCAACGAGGGGGGAATGATACAGTCGCGAAAGGAAGGGCTAGATCAAAGAAAGGTGAAGGTCTTCTCATGGAAGAGGACACTGATTGTCTCTGATGGGGGGCGATGCGTCAAGAGGGAGAAAGTGAAGGTTGTATAGGATGACCCAGTGGAAGAGGTCGCAACGGTGACGAAGTGAAGCAGGAAGAACAGATGCAAGGGGGGTTGGGTGGTATTTGGCAAGCAAGCAAGCGATGGCGCAATAGACCAAGGAAGCGGGTGACATTTTGCGCACATTCTACCAAAGGCTCACAATGGTCTGTCTGAGACCTTGCAGGAAGTTGAAGCTAGGCACCGTGACGGCGCATCCACCTTGATCGATAAAGTTGGTCTGTGTGAGCGTCAACTGCGGCTGGTTGTTGAGAGCAATGTTCGCAAGAGTCTTTTGCGTAGGGTTGTACTGAGGCCAGCCCAGCTTAGGCAGACCATTGACGGGATCTCTAGCGAACTCCGCCCAAGCGTGCTGCATCAGGCGCGAAGTCTTGTCTTGCTCCGGTGTGATCGTCGCCTTCTTGGATGGATTGCCCAAGTAGTATGGCGGGTATGTGCCGAATAGCATGGGGCACTCTGCAAAGTGGTAGGATCCAAGAGCGGGGTAACCTTGAGTAAAGTCTTCCCAAGCACCGTGGTACTGGTAGCGCCATGTTGGCGCGCCGACACGAGCGCGGTCAGCAGCGTTGGTCATGGCTGGACATGTCCACAATGGGGGAGTGAAAGCTGCGTCGCTAATTTTGACGATCAATGTGTTTCCAGGGTCGTCTGAGAACAGAGTAGCCTCGTTGGAGTTGGTGCCGATCATCGTTGGGATTTTGGAGACTCTGCCGGTGTTGCTGCGCAATGCGTAGTCTTGGAACCAGGTGTGACCGTCAGGAGTGGGACCGAATTGGACGGTGTTGTCCGAAGTGATGAGCTTCACCGTGGCGTTGACGAGGTCCATCATGGGCACTTTCTGCATGCATTGGAATTGCGTCTGACCGCCTGATCGACCACAGCCGAGGCTGTCCGAAACGGTGTTCCACTCAGAGTCGTACCTGGCAAAGTTGAAGATGGATTTTGTCCCAGACGCGAGCTGCAAGCCGATCACGGAGCCTGAAGAGACGATGAGCGAGCTCGCCACGGCTGGCTTGTCGACGTGGGCGTAAGAGTATGCGTCGATCATGGTCGAGCCACTGGACCCGCCAAACAATGTGATCTTGCTCGGATCACCGCCGAATCTGGCAATATTCTTTTGGACCCACTCTAGAGCGAGCTCCATGTCGAGCAGTCCAAAGTTCCATCCGTCAGCAGCATTCTCCTTCTGTTTCGTGACGTAGTCCGACAGAGGGTTGCCGAAAATGCTGTGCCTGTATGCAAAGGAGACGACGATGACGTCTTCGTTTGCCGCAAAATTGTTGCCTCTGTACAACGGAATTGTTGCTGTGCCGGTGTTGAAGGAGCCGCCGTAGACCCAGAACAAGACAGCTGCACCTCCTTTGCCGTTCGCAGCGAGCCTAGCCTTTGCACCTCGACGCGTAGACTGCTTGGCCCAGATGTTGACTCTCAAGCAATCCTCGGACCATTTGCTGGGAGGATCGATCTGCTGTCCTGTGAAGGCGAGCTTGGCGTAGCTGCTAGCGCTCTGGACAGAAGGGCAACTGGGACCGGCGTTTGAAGCGTCGAACACGCCATCTGCAGACGGTGCCAGGGTGGATTTCGTGAAGCGCTTTGCGCCTGAGGTATCTGCACCGTAGCGTACACCCAGCCAGCGGTAGACGCCGTTGCCGTCGTCGACGCCGCGTACTTGACCAGATGTTGTTTTGACCAAACGATAGTCGACAGCTCTGCCCTCTAGGGCCGCGTGAGCCTCAACGGCGGCCGCATCTGCAGTGCGAGCAGCGAGCTCGTTGTGGTGGGCGTCTTCGACTGTTGACGGAGCGCATGCGACTGTTGCGAGAAGGGCAGCCAATGGTGCGAGCAAAGAGAAACGCATGATGGGCTTGTCGGTGAAGTGAAAGGCTGGAAGAAAAGGTTTACCGAAGGAAGGTGGAAGAGGGGTGGGGGAAGGAGAGGGCAGTGCCTCAGCAACGAGAACGATGCGAGTGGAGGGGAATATGGAATCAGGAAGGTAAAAAGATGCGGCACCGCTTCGTAGGCAGTCAGCCTTGACGGAAGGCAGGTAAGGTGGAGTGGCGAATGGAGTGCGAAAAGGAGTGAATGACGAGAGCGACCAACCGTCGAATGATGTGAAACGGTATTCACCAGCGTCCTTTTGTGGGTTAGCCGGCTGGCGTTGCGATGCCTACCCAGATGCCGTCGGGAAGTGGGTCATTGCTGGGTGCAGATCAGCAGAAAGAGCCTATCCACATTCGTGATTGCCGATGCGAGTGAGTATGGATGGCAAGGGTCAGACACGGTCACCTCGACACAAGCACTCAGGCTCTCGTAGGCGTGGCTCATGGAAAGCTTGATATTGATGATTGATCAAGCTCGGCTTGTTGGGGAATGTCCTGCGTATGAACGCACGAGCTCGACCTGAGCGGGTGCCTTGCGTCGTCTTGGCCATGCAAGATGGCCGGGGGGGCAAGCTGCACCGCAGGCATGCTGCATCAGGGGGCCGCACACAGTACAGTAGTCACTGAGTGGTGATATTTCCCTTGACCACTTGTTTCACCGCTAAGGTGCGAGCAAAGAAACTCCGCCCTTGCTAAGAAACAGAAGGATCGAAGCGTATTTCTGCGCGCCGGCCTAAACCTGCAGCTCTGCACGCTTCTTCTGCTGCATGCTGCTGCTGCTTCATCACTTTGGCTGGCTCGGTTCGCAAGCCGTGGCAGGCACTCTGCCTGCATGAATACGGTGCAACCATGGACTGTATGTACTGTACAGCGAGACCCTCTTCTGAAACCTAACGGACTTTCGGACGTCCCATTTTGCTGATCGCAAACCACGCATCCATGCAGCAAGGACGCGCGATGCTGCTGCTGCTGCTGCTG